TGGACATTGTACTGAATAATACAGTCGAAGCACAACTACTCGATTGGATCCCCGTCAACAGTCAATGTGCGATGCGGATCCAAGGGTCTATCAGCGTCCGGAAGGGAAGCAACACCAAAAGGTGTGCGTTCACCATTACAGTGTATGCATCGACCAACTGCAGTTCTGACGCAAATAAGATAATTTTCACTTTAAAAACACGGAAATCATTCGGTTGAGCCAAAGCTACCATGTAGTTGCTCTTGCAGGTGATTTTGAAGCTCAAGTTGTAAAACTGAGTACATCGGGAGCTTGCCTAGACGGTCGTTGTGCTCTGCCCTGCCAGTGAACAAATAATGATGATCCACTTCTTCACTTCTGCGTAGATCCTCATCTGTTCCTATCCAGCACCAACTTCCGAGACAGCTCTTAACGGACAGCAAAGTGGCGCTCTAATTCAACTAGTACGCTAACTTAGATCGACCACATAGCAGTAAGCTATCGTTGGTGTGGCTCAGTGCAAAACTACAAGTCTTATTGGACCACCTACGTTAAGTCTGATCACGCGTTAGTTTTGATGCAGGTCACTCGCCAACTTACTGGTCGCAGAGAATTCCACCAAACTCGATTGGTAGACCATCGCTTATCTGACCCAGCCGTTCGCGGCCGTTTTGAATCAGAACTAGGGCAAAAGCTAAACGCACTGCGGGGTGGTAGTGTAAATGAACTATGGGATCAGATTAGACGAGCAATGCACTCCGCAGCTAACGTTGCTTGTGGATCTGAAGCAGTGGCCTATCCGAGGCATTGGATATCTGATGAGTCAGTAGCACTGATGGAGAAAAAGCGGCAAATCCCGACCGTCCGGGATTAAAGCAGGAGTAGGTGGCGTCTGCAACAACAACTCAAGAGCCTCAAGAAAGAATCGTGAGAACTGGCAGGCAACGATAGCCAGTGAAATGGAAGTAGCAACTGCATCAGGGAATAGTGGAAGACTGTTCCGACTGATATGCAACACGGGAGGTCGGCGAAACAATCTGCGATCAAATCGGTCAAATCTTCACTCTGTGACAAGTCCTCGAGCTACGCCATACACAGTGTCGACCAACGGTTGACGTAAAAGAAACCTTTGACTCAGTTGACCGCAAATTAATCATGAATTCGCTACTTCACAAAGCAATGCCGCAGAAGTATGTGACTATACTGAGTTCACCCTACTTACGTACTTCTGGTAGCGTAAGGGTCTATGGCAAGCTGAGTAGGTCGCTCGAAACTAGCAGCGGCCTTCATCAAAGGTACCCTCTTCCGCCATTCCTGTTCAATTTCGTTTTAGACGAAATACTGGAAAAGGCACTAAGTGATCTCCAAAATGTAGGTGTTAAATGGGCAGTACAGGAAAAGCTGTGCGATTTGGAGTACGCTGACGACACCATTTGCCTGTTCGGGTGTATGTATGGGGGATGCACAAAAATAACTTGAAAGATTAGCAAGTTCTGTCGCTCAGTTCGGCATGCGCTTTGCACCTTCAAAGTGCAAAGTGATGCTGCAAGACTGGTTGTCGCCGAGTCCCGTTCTCAAACTAGACGATCAGGAATGAGCTGAAGTTGATTTCTTCTAGTACTTGGGTAGCTGCGTAACCAACCGCGCGCATTTTCAGGACTCGAGCAGCATATGCAGGACTTAAACACCGGTGGCGGCGACGTGACGTGTCACTGAAGTTGAAAAGTCACGTATATAGAGCCACTGCACGATCAGTTCTGCTTTACGGTTGTGAGACCTCGAATTCGAGGATAGAAGATATCTCTCGTTTAGCAGTTTTTAACATAGTTTGGCGTAAGTTGGATGGAGTGAGCGAGTTAATAACTTAGAAGTAAGTCGTCGAGTGTTTGGGAATGCATTGAACAAGAACTCGCTATCACATCGAAATCAGCTCAATAGGCTCCATTGGTTAGGACGTTTTGCGTATGTCCGGCGGTCGTCTACCGCAACGCACCTTATTTGCAGTTGCCGCTGCAGACTGGAGAAAGTCATACGAAGGCCATGAGGTGACGTGGAAACGAGGCACGAAGAAATGCACAGAACGATTAGGTAGAGTAGGTGTCTCTCGTTTTCCGGGTTGAGGTCCAAAAGACTCTGTAACTGGATGGTTGAAAACACCGAAAGTAATGACAGCAAACCGACAGCAATGGTGATCATGCTGTCACTTCTTATCAGACCAGAATGCTTGAAATAGTACGTATACACATCTGTACTGTTATTTCCGTGTGTTGACCATAGAATTTCGCCTTCTTTTCCGGTCCCTAACAATAGGCCCAATCCCAGTCCTCTTTTCACATTCTCACTTTGTTTGTATGCATTATGAGTTTGACGCGATCAGTGAAGTTCGCTTCACTGTATTACGATGTACAGTTGATGGCAACAGATCGCATTTTCTACTCTACAATACAGCATCATTAACTTCAAGCAGATTGGTTTTACTCAAAACTGATTGACGACATACAAGAAAACGTGACACTGATAATGGAGGAACAGTGGAAAACACTTATATGGTCATAAATCACTCACCAAGTTCCTCGTCGGTAAACTCTAACATGGTACACTCCTCGTTTAGAGAATGATCGAAGTCAATAGAAAGCTGGTTTTCTTCCTTAGACAAAGCTTCCATTTTCTTTCGCCCCTCTTCATCCAAATGTAACCCTTCAAAGTGAAATACGATTAGCCATACGATTAGTCATTTTCTAACCATTTCGTCGACCGTTACGAACTTTCCTATCAATGTAGCGTTTATAGATGGCTGGTACCGTCTCGTCAATCTTGCTTTGTACTAAAACGAATTGATCGAAAACGTCCTTTCGCATCCTGAAAAACGAATAATAACAAGACCCGTTAGTTTCGGTTCGTGGGATATAAGAAAGCAGTACGATAAATTCCTAAAAAGAGACGTTAACGATCTAAAGCAATCGGCAATGACAGAAGTCATACATACGACCATTATGAGCTATTGAGAAGCAGGTGGTGTCATTCCACCACCAGTCGCATTGGGCACCTAAAGAAAATCTTACGGTTTCGAATTAACCTTATGTGAACCCTTTATTCAATATAGTTGGGAATACTCTGTAAATAAATTCACATCGAAGACTAATTCACGTATCAGATTTCGGAAGCCGTTAGAAAGTAGATATATTAATCACTAAGACACCATGATTACGATTACAGCCCGTTTCCACTGATGTGTGATCTTATCCGTGACATTCCCATACCTTTACAAAATAAGTTATCATCAGGCTTGTGCGTAGATCAGACCAGAAACAGCTGGACAATCCGTTATCCAACATCGCAACGGAGGAACAGTTTCACTTTTCACCTTTAACAACCATTAACCATTTAATTTCGTGCACTGATTTTCGTTGCAGTCTTTTGACGATCCATTCACAGCAAAGAGAATTGGAATAGTGAGGACAGAGTCAAAAAACATAGAGACCTCATTTAGACTGGGGTTGCAAGAATAATCAGAACATGCATGAGCGCCACTGTTTACAACATTCGGCCTTATTACGCAGTGTCCCTAACCACCGATTACTGTGCTCTCGAGGTTCCCATCCAGGAAGTCTAACGCGACCTATATGAGATACTCTCCGGGGTAGGGTTTTCTCATGTCAGGTTTTAGTTTTACCACTCCGAACCTTTTCCATCCGCTATCTGTCTCGCCAAACATCGCTTGAAGTGGTGACATGAGCAACACATGTCTCAACCAACATACTGTAATATATGGAGGTCGACCATTTGCTCCGGCGGACGACCACTATTGCCTAACCTCGGCAATGCTTATCCGGTTTCCCGGCCAGGCTCTTGGGATGGAGCGTAGACAGTGGTGTTTGAATACCGAAAACCTATTTTTATCTTGTTCCCGTAATGAATGAGCCTCTGCACCGTAAAGCAGCACTGGATGAACTGCTGCAACATACACTCGACCCTTCACAGACAGCCGGATGTTGCGACGGCACCACAAATGTATTAAGTTAGCATATATATACACATATATATGATGCTCAGTTGTTCGCCGAGCTTGGCAATTGAATTACAAACGTTTCACCACCAATCAAGGTGACATTCGCAATGCAGTAACAGTTACTGCATTGAGAATGTCACCTCGACTGGTGATGAAACGTGTGCAATTCAACTGCCAAACTCGGTGAACTGTACATCCAGTTATAATACCCGAGCTACAAAATTTTTTTGTTTCACCGCACACCTTTTGATATTTTATTGTGTTGTATTGTTTATTTAGGGGGCACGGGATTTCGACAGACAGACCGTACAACATTCGCGCCACCGACTTTTATTCTGAGCCATATCTCTCAACGTCTTCAACCAGCGACAAGCCTCATTCCTTGGGCCCCAAACTGGGAGGCGGGCTGCACCAACCACAGCCAAAGCTGAAGACAGCTTCTTCATACCTCTAAGCCATGTCATGACCTGACCGCTGCGACGCTTCTTCCAGCCTTTCCCGGCACGTGCGAAGAGAGCACAGAAAGGTGGTTGATGGGCAGACATACGCAATATGTGACCAAGCCATATATATTTATATACATATATATATAACCTGAGTAAAAAATAGTAATAATAATAATACCTTCGGCTCATAATTGAGCTGAAAGGTGATCAGAGAGTTCTACTTCGAAGGCCGATTTGCAACCGTTGCTGACCTTGTATTTTGGGCGACCGTTTCTGGTGGCTTTTCTGTGGTTGTTTACCAGACGGAGGGAGAATCTGGCTCGTAGCAGAACATGGTCCGCGCCCACCGGTGTGGACCAGTAAGAGCGGTAGTCTTCGATGGATCCTCTCCAGCAGTGACTGATGGCGATGCGATCCATTGTAGTCTATCGCTGAGAAGAGATGGGCGCTTTGGACTAAAAGCTGAGCACTCTTTCTATAGCTTCGTCTTGTTGGATGTACCTACACGCAACTTCCTAGGTATGGACGAACGAACACTGTTTATTTTCTGAAATATTTCCTGTCACGCATCCAAAAGCTTTACGGATTATCCAAAATGTCCTCGTGCCCCTGGAAGCCCCTTTCTGTCACTGTTCACTGGCCCGAAAATCAGTGGAAAAAGTGAACTTTACATCGATCTTTGAGAACTGTTGGGATTTTTATAGTCCCGAGTATCTGGTGGCTGAAATTCGAAGTCCAATCATCAGCACCGTGCTTCTCAAAATTTATCGACATTTGCCATGCAATCCCAAAGTCATAGCCTGACTACTGATAACTATAAGCTGGTATGCCTGTTTACCTGAGACCAGTTTCTGATTGTCAATAAACGCGATAACGTCACCTCAAATCCCTCCTAAAGGTTACTTAAGAAGATCGAAAATAGTCAAAGATCATGAACCAACCATTAAGGGACCCGTCTACGATCCTGAGGAAACAGGGGACAAAAATCATTTTCTACAATAATCTACAAACGAAGGCCGCGTTACATCACAACGTTCCTTCCCCAATTTATGATGTAGGTAGAATGACAAAGCTTTCAGTGAGATACTATATTGAAGGTCACGAGGATGTCAATATTCATTGTATATTCCCAGTTGATCGTACCCACTTCGACATCAATGAGCATATTTGCTAGGCACGAGTAGCTCCGTAGCGAACTACACTGAGTCGACATCAATGCCTACATGTTGGTCAGATACTCCTATATTTTCTTTATTACACACTTTCGTGTGATGATCAGCAGACGGGGTAAACCCCATAGTCACGAGGCCACGCTGTTCAGTGATGGAAACCGGTAACCTGAGCCCTGGGACTTGGAGTGGTGAATCATATGAGGGCCTTTAGGTTAGGCGTGGTATTGAACCGTACGACAACAAAGCTACCTACCACTAAAGTCTGTTCTGTAATGAGCTTTATCGTGAATTGTATCGCCGTGCGGGTCAAACTCAACGGTCTGTGGTAGGAAAGCTCAAACCCGTTACCCGTATTAAAAGAGCATACAATGGCTAACTTTCATACATTCTAATGTCCGCTTCTACCGATTTACTGTAGATAGCGGCATATGGAACACATCTGCTAGTTAATTGAGCTTTGTATACAACCCATCAGGTTTGGCTCCCTTTGATGGATGGATTCATTTGAGCAATATAACTTCCCTTTTGAGTACTGCTACTGTGCCCAGTTCTTGGCTCGTGCATGTCGGTATGGAGTTTCGTGCATCGCTTAATAACGAAAAGATGTCTGGAGATTGAGAAGGTGCCACCTTAGTTGCTTTTCACTAGTCCGAGTCTAAGTGAAAACCCGAAATCTACAGACTCGTAGGCTTGACATCGGTCTGATGCAAAAGACTAGAAAGAATGGTATGCAAGAATGAGTGTTCACCTTGTGGAGCAAGAGCTACTAACGCCAGATCAAAGTGGCTTTATTAGGCGGAAGTCATGTTTATCGAAGCTATTGAGTTTTTTGACAAGGTCAAAGATCACTGATACTATGGTCACCATATTGACGTGTGCTATCAGGACTTCGACTCCGTAAGTCATTAGACATTAGATCATAAGATGCAAAGTCTGAAAATTGAGTGAAAAGTAAACCAAACTTTTTTTCTCAATGTAGGAATGCACTTATCCAAGTCGGAAAACATGACTAGCAGCGCGCTCCAGGGATCAGCGTGAGACAACTACTGTTCTTATGTTCGTGAACGATCTACCTAGAAGAATCAACGTTTTTCAGGGTGCCATTTTGTCCCCCTTCCTTTCCTATACTAACATACAGAATCTCCCCATTCCCGGTAACTTTATTACTTGCAAACAAGCTGATGATATTGTGATTAGGTGACCACCCCTAGTCCAGAGAGTTTTCGGTTTATCCAGGACACTCCTAGTGCACTTCACGATTGGTCTGTGCCCTGATCCTTTGTAATTAACATTAGTAAGTACACTGACGTTCAATTTAATCTTAAAACTGGCCCCGTTATCTTTCATTGGTAAGAAGTCTCCCTGATCTTATGGTAATTAATCAAAGAATACTAAATACTTTATCGTCACTCACACCAATAACCTGTCATGCCATCAGCGTTTTTACAAAGTTCGAAAACTGTCTTTTATGCATGCAGAATGAGGAAACTGGCTGTTCGACATAATCGTATTTTTAAATTTGTGATGGCCTGCATCTCTCATCACTGGTTATACTGCTCCCCAATTTTCTACTGTTTCCTACGTTTCTTCAAGGTCTTTCTCGTTACAGCGGAGTTTATGGAGTTGTTTTTGGTGGGTTTGCTTATTTCCAAGCATTTTGACGCTTGTTCTATCCTTATTAACTGGATAACTAGTCATCAAGGGCTCTGTCTGCATCGAGAAATCACGAAAGCCGCATCGAGTTCTCAAACTCCCTCAAAATATCAACTCCTTGCGAGTGTTGCGTCACATAGAAACAGTGTAATTTTACATCTTCCTCAGCTATTGGTTATTCGTATGACATTTGTCACCCACCTCGGGGAAAGACCCTCGCATTACCTCTTCTCAGTATAGTATGTTATTTTTTGTTGATTGCAATTTGTTTCATTTAGTCCCTGCACGTTTTTAAACTGGTAAACATTTACCTTTTGCGTGCGTAAAACGTTCTTTGACCTGGCTTGACTTGAGCCGTGTTATAGATCTACTACTATCTTTTCTGTTGCATAGACTGGTGTTATTCTGGGTGCATATTCTAGCATTTTAATTGTTCCGTTTTAGCTCTCATATCTCGTTTTAGGTCGACTAAAGCATAGCACAGGTAGGCAAACAATACGCTGACGGTGCAAGAGCCTGGACTCAAATTGGCATCAGCCGCAATTCCCGTGACTCAACCTGACCTGATTTATGTTCGC